CTCTCTCTCTGTCAAATAAATAAATAAAATCTTAAAAAAAAAAAAATGAAATGAAAAATTGTTTTCCAAAATGACTGTACTCCCACCAATGACGTGAAAGCATTCCAGTTGCTCCTCATCTTTGCTAAATTTGGTACTCAGCAGTCTTTTGATTTTAGTCATCCTAGTGGTATGCAGAATCTGTGATATTGATTTGCATTTCCCTAATGACTCATGATGGTGAGAATCGTCCTATGTACTTATTTGCCATCTGTAGATCTTCACTGGTAAAGGATCTGCTCAACTCTTCTGCCTAGTTTTTACTAGGTTATCTGTCTTTCTCTCACTGTGTTGTAAAAGTTCTTTATATATTCTGGAGACAAGTCCCTTGTTGCAGATAAACTTTCATAAAAATGTTTTGTATGATGTTAAGATAACCACACCATTTTCTTTTGGTTCCTATTTGACTAGCATGATTTTCCCACCATTTCACATTCAACCTTCTAAGTGTTGGGTATGTCTCTTATAAACAGCAAGTACTGGGGGCGCCTGGGTGGCTCAGTCGGTTAAGTGTCTGCTTTCAGCTCAGCGTCCTGGGATCAGGCCCCACGTTGAGCTCCCTGCTCAGCAGGGAGCCTGCTTGTCCCTCTCTCTCTGCCCCTCCCCCTGCTCATGCTCTAATAAAAAAATAAAATTTTAAAAAATAAAATAAACAGCAAGTACTGGGATTTTAAATGACAACTTACATCACAATTATTATCATTATTGATATATTTCTGTATGTGTCTGTCACGATAATTTGTGATAATTAACCATGCTAATCATTTTGTTCCTTTCTCTCCACTCTTTTCCTTCCTTCTTTTAGTATTACAGAATGTTTTACATTTTCTTTTCCCACTCTACTCTTAGTAGCTATCCTTACAATTTTTACATTCACACTTAAGGTTTTTTCCTAATCCAGTTAAAAGTTATTTGGTATTTCTATTCTCTAATTCCAAAACTGTATCACACGTTACTTATCGAACATACCACTACATCTTAAGTATCATTTTGAGCTTTAAGAGTTTATATTTAAAATATTTAAAAAATTTAAACTTTTTACAATCAATATTAACTTTACCATCATATTTTATCAATGTCTGCACTCATCATTGTTTCTTATTTCTTACAACTTCCCTTTGAATTTCCTTTCCTGTGTTGTATTCTTTTCTCTTTTTCTTTTTTTGGGGGTTAGGGGGTGTCATTTTCTTTTAACCTATTTTCTTCATTCTGTCCTTCAGCCTCCAAGACCAGAACCAAGTCTCACATCAGTTAAGTGGTAGGTTCCTGCCCCCTGGTTGATACTGGAGTATGCACATTCATTCAGTGGGGACTTGTTCACTTCCTCGTCACAGGCCACATAACCGGTTCCTTCCACCTTTTTAGGACCACAGCAAGAACAAGACTTGATTCCAGTCAGTGGTTAACAGCAGTTTTGGGCTGGTTGGTTTTTTTTTTCTTTCCAGCTTTCCTTCAGGAGCAGAGTACCACTCATCTCCTGCTTCAAGGAGTAAGCCTGGGCCAGGTTCTTCTCATGAGCAGAGGACTTTTAAACCCAAATACTTATAGGAGCTGAACTCCTGGGCTGCCACGACCTTTCAGGCCCCCAGCCAGCCCTCAGATTCAGACCTGCTCACCACATATATTTCTAGTCTACATTCCATAGCCCAGCTATGTCTTTTTATATATTTACCTTTCATATATATCTGTTTTATCGATATTGTTGTGCATCCGGACCAGATTGGACCAAAGCATGAATTCACTAAGTCATTTTGTCTGGAAGTTCTCTACAATTCCAACTGTTTTATTGATATTCAAGACGGAAAATAAACAAAATGATGTATAGCTTCATATAAGTATTAACATATCTGTTTCCAGTCATTTGTCAGTCTGTTTGACAGACTTGCAATGAACTCCCTGCCTAGGATGGGGAATTTTCTAGCACAGACCAGAAATGGTATGCCTCCACCCCCTTGCTGCTGGACAGGAGCTTGTGACCACCCCCGACTCTGAATTTTAGTCAAATGGGGAAAAAGGAGAAACTGGAAAGAATCTGTTTTGGGGATGGATGTGGCAGGAGGCTGCAAGTGGCAGCATTCTCGGTCTACTCAGGTGTTATGGGTGCCTGACAGTGGGGACCAAGGTAGCATCAACAAATGGGTGCTGCAGTGGAATTTGGGGTATGGACAGGCTTTGGGTCTCCCAGAGAACCTGTGATGTAAATAAACCTGTTTTATGCTTAAATTAGTCTGAGTAAGGTGGGGTGCTTGGGTGGTTTGGTCGGTTAAGTGTATGACTCAGTTTCAGCTCAAGTCATGATTTCATGGGTCCTGAGGTTGTGAGATCATGAGATTGTGAGATTCAGCCCAGCGCTGGGTTCCAAGCTCAGCAGGGAGTCTGTTGTTCTTCTCCCCTTCCCTCTGCCCCTGCCTCCGCTTGCGCACTCTCTCTCAAATAAATAAATGAATCTTTAAAAAAAGAAAAATTAGCCTGAGGTTTCTTCTGGTTAAACCTAAGAACTCTAAAAAACAAACTTTGTAATACAATCTTTAATAATGCTCATATTGGCTTCTTTAAAAAGATGTGGGGAAAGTGCTGAAAAGTAAATGTGATTTTATTTTTTTAAGATTTATTTATTTGAGAGAGAGACAGTGAGAAAGGGAACACAAGCAGGGGGAGTGGGAGAGGGAGAAGCAGGTTCCCGCTGAGCAGGGAGCCCGAAGCGGGGCTCGATCCTAGGACCCTGGGATCATGACCTGAGCCAAAGGCAGACGCTTAACAACTGAGCCACCCAGGCACCCCTGTAAATGGGATTTTAATTAAGAAGATCAAACAAATGAAGAATAATTCATTTTTATGAGTCTTACCTTTCCCCCAACCAGAGGCAAAATGTGCATCTTTCCAGTCTGACAATCCTTCACTGAGGAAACAATGAGGCAGGTGCCACAGAGAACAACTAGGCGTTCAGCCCACTTATGCAGCTGGGTCTTCCCCTTGCGTACATTATAGATGCCAGACAGAAGGATTCGATCCAGATGATCCATCTGGCATGGTTTTTCTAAAAGAAAACAGAACTTCAGAAGTCACCATTCAAGTATATGAGACTCTTGTAAGGAAAAAAGAAAGTATTGTGTGTCAACATTCAACTACCTTGTTTACAGATTTAAGTTACCAAGCAATGTTATCACAAAATAAGATCTCAGTTCTAAAATGTTATCCATCACTGAAGTTATACAATGGGAGTACTGTGGATTTTGGGCCAGGGAGCAAGATTTTATTTTGGATGCCATTGTTAATTCTTCTTCTAACGCAGTCCTATCTCCCATGTACACAGAGAAAGGCAATCTGGCAACTCATTAAGATCACAGACTTGGGGGCCAGACATGCACACCTGGGCTTGAATCCTAGTTCTGCCACTTACTTTGTTTCTTCAAACTACTTAATATAATCACTGAGGTTGACTTTCCTCATTTATACAGTTTGGATCTTAATACTACTTATCTTTAGCATTTTCTTATAAAAAATTTGGATAATTTATGTAAAGTACTGAGCATAGTTTTAGGTAACAAAAGAAGTACTGAATAAATGACAGCCACTATTGTGATTAGTCTTTTCTAGAAGGAAGAAATTAATAAGTATGGGAGCACTCTAGTTCTGTACACATTACTCCATTTTCCTGTTCCTTGTGAGGAAATGCTTATGGCTGATACTTCAATCAACTATCCCAATCATGGTGGCAGAAGCTCCTATGTGCATACAAGAATTTCTTTTTTTTGTACCCTCCCTCCTCATTAGAATCTTTTTAAGGCTGAGATATAGTGAACAAACAGCACATTATGACAGAAGACAGGTTCTTGATCAAAGCGCAGTGAAAACCAGACTAACTCTACCCAGAAATGACAGGAGTAGCACTAGTATGAGGCGGTGCAAACAGCAAGAAACTGGGAAGAGAGAAAATTGCATCGTATTTGATATTATTACAGGATTGATTATGGAACCTGGGCATCGTGTTGCCCTTTAACTATGTGTTTCCCATATATGATCTGAGGAAATAGGTTAGATCACTTCAAAGCTTTAAAACTTTGCATGCGAACACTAGCTCTATGGGAGAGCCATCTCTCCTTCTATTTGAGGTCAATCCTTTCATCTATATTCCAAACTCCACCTTTCTCAGGGAGTTTGGTTCTTCTCTCTTCTACTCTTCAACTCCACCCTCCTTATTGTTCCTGTCAAAGCTACAAAAGCATTCATGTTTTCTCCCATGCCCTCTCAGTCTCAACTGTGGAATTTCTTTAGTTCAGTAACTCTCTGAAGAGAATGCCCAAGACTTCTTATGTGAGACTTGTGTGTGCCCAAGACTTATTATGATGAAGCAGGGCTTCATCCCAGGACACTGAGATCATGACCTGAGCAGAAATTAATAGTCAGAACAGGTTAAAATGTGGGACACTGACACCCACCCACAGAGAGTCTAATCCACAGGGCCTGGGATGGAACACAGAGAAATGTATTTTTAACAACTATTCCAGGTAGTTTAAATGCAGATGGTCCACAAACCATATTTTTAAAAATTGTAAGTTTACCCTTTTGAGGCTCTTTTGTTCTCATTTGTGCCTTTATATTAGCTATCTCCCTGTTACCTCACCTCCTATTTACTCAATTTTCTTCAATCTGGCTTCCAGCCTCCAAACTGCCCTATTCATACGATGATAATGGCCCTCAGATTTCTATCTCCTGCCCCAATCTTCCTTTGGTTCTAATCTCATATATCTAATTGTCTGCTAGACATGTCCAAGAGATGTCCCCATCCACCTCAAATTTCCAGTATCAGACTAGAAAGAAAGAAACTATCTTTATTTGCAAACTATAGGATCTTGTATGTAGAAAATCCTAAGTAAGCCACAAAAAAGACAATTATAACCAATAAATGAGTTCAGCAAAGTTGCAGGATACAAGTTGTTGTTTTTTTTTTTTTTACTATATTTAAGATTTATTTATTTTGGGGGTCCCTGGGTGTCTCAGTTGGCTAAGCATCTACTTTCAGTTCAGGTCATTATCCCAGGATCCTGGGATGGAGCCCTGCATCAGGCTCCCTGCTCAGCAGGGGGTCTGCTTCTCCTTCTCCCTCTGCCTCCCCCCTCCCATGCTCTTGTCTCTCTCTTTCAAATAAATAAATTCTTAAAAAAAAAAAAAAAGACTTATTTTTGAGAGAGAGAGAGAGAAAACATGCAAGTGGGGGAAGGGAAGGGCAGAGGGAGAGAAATCCTCAAGCCGACTCCCTGCTGAGCAGAGAGCCCAATGCAAGTCTTCATTCAAGGACACTGAGTTCATGACCTGAGCAGAAATCAAGAGTCAGATGCTTAACCAACTGAGCCACCCAGCCGCCCCAGATACAAAAATTTTTTAAAAAATCAACTGTATTTCCATGCATAAGGAATAAACAATTCAAAACAAAATTAAGGAACTTAACTGCATCTAAGATAGCATCAAAAAGAATAAAATGAAAATAGTACAGTGAAAACTACAAAACATAGCTGCAAGAAGTTACAGACCTAAATAAATGGACAACATCCAGGGTTCATGGGTTAGAAGATTTAATATTGTTAAGATGGCAAAACTCCCGAAACTGATCTACAGCAATGTATTCCCTATCAAAATTCCAGCTGCTTTCATGGCAAAACTGACAAACTGATCCTAAAATTCATATAGAGAAGTACAGCAGACTCAGAATAGACAAAACAGTCTTAAAAAGAACAAAACTGAAATTCCCCAATTTCAAAACTTAACTATAAAGTATGGAGTTGGCAAATAGTTTTCCATTAGCAATAATCGCGCCTCAGATAAACCTCATTGGCTATGATACTGCCACTGTGCAAAGCTTGGAGTTGGCATATAAAGTACAGTACTTGGGGCATCTGGCTGGCTCAGTCAGTACAGCATCTGATTCTTGATCTTGGGGTCATGAGTTCAAGCCCCACATTGGGTGAAGAGATTACTTAAAAAAAAAAAAAGTACAGTACTGACGTAAAAATAGACAGAGCAATGGAACAGAATTCACAAATAAACCCCTACATTTATGGACAATTGATTTTTGAGCAGGGTGCCAAGATACTCACTGGGGAAAGAACAGTCTTGTCAACAAATGGTGCTGAACAGCTGGATAGCCAAAGGCAAAAGAATAAAGTCAGATCCCTAACCTCATACCATATACAAAAATTAATTCAAAATGGATTGCAGACCTAAATGTAAGAATTATAAAACTCTTAGAAAAAAACACTGGAATAAATCTTGTGGTCTTAAGTTAGGCAAAGATTTCTTAGGTATGAACACAAAAAGTAAAAGCGACATGGGGTGCCTGGGTGGCTCAGTCGGTGAAGCGTCTGCCTTTGGCTCAGGTCATGATCCCAGGGCCCTGGGATCGAGTCCAGAATCGGACTCCCTGCACAGTGGGAGTCCCTGTTTCTCCCTCTGCCCACATCCCCACCCCCTGCTCATGTTTTCTCTCTCAAATAAATAAAAACCTTTAAAAAATAAAGTTAAAAAAAAGAAAATATAGAAAAATGGACTTCATCAAAAATAAAAACTTGTGCTTCAACAGACACCATCAAGAAAGTAAAACGATGAGTCACAAAATAGGAGAGAATATTTGCAAATCATATACATAATAAGAGAGTTGTATCCAGAATAAAGAACTGTTACAATTCAGCAATAAAGACAAACAGCACAATTAAAAAATGGGCAAAGAATGTGAATAGATATTATTTCACAGAAGATATATAAAAGGCCAACAAGCACATGAAAAGATGCTCAATCTCATTAGTTTCTAGCAAGATGCAAATCAAAACCACAATGAGATACCAGTTTACATCCCCTAGGATGACTATAATCGAAAAAGACAAACACTAATAAGCATTGGCAAAGATGTAAACAAACACTGCTGGTGCGACTATAAAATGGTGCAGCCACTTTGGAAAACAGTCTGGTAGTTCCTCAAAAGTTTAAACATAGACCCACCATATGATCCAGCAATTCCACTCCTACATCTATCTCCAAGAGAACTGAAAACACATGTCCACACAAAAACTTATACACAGATGTTTGTTCATAGTAGCATTACTCGTCATAGCCAAAAAGTAGAAACAACCAAAATGCCCATCAACTGAGGAATGCATAAGCAAAAGGTGGCATTATCTATACAATGGAACACTGTTTGGCCATAAAAAGAAATGAAGTACTGATACCTACTATAACCTGGATGAGCCTTGAAAACATGCCAAGTATAAGAAGCCAGCCACGAAAAGCCACATGTATATGATTCCACTTACATGAACTGTTCAGAATAAGCAAATCCATAAAGACAGAAAGTAGATTTGTGGTTGCCAGGTGCTGCAGGAGTGCGGAATGGAGAATGATGTTAATGGATATGGGGTCTTTTTTTATGGTGATGAAAATATTCTAAAATTAGACTGTGGTGGTGGCTGCATAACTCTCTGCACATACTAGAAAGCACTGAATTGTACACTTTTAAAGGGTGAATGTTATGGGATATGAATTATATCTCAATAAAACTGTTATTTTTTTAACCTCATTGTTCTCTCCAAACATGCCAATGGCTTCTATATTCCCCACCCTGGTTAACAGTATCGCCTACTACAAAGTTTGCTAAATTACGTAAAAATGGGACTTCATAATAGTTATCATGTTTTCAAACTGCTTAAGTCTTTTTAAAAGTTTACATGAAACAGATGTTATATCAATTGATATATAATTCTCTGAGTCTCTTCTTTCTTGGCCTTATTTCTTTGTATTTTATTACAGAGAAAACTCCTAAATCTATCCACTACCACTCTCAGAAGGGAACATTCAACTGTGTTTTGGATAAGTTATATATGAAATAACATGCTGTTTTATTAATTTTGGAGTGTTTGCTAGACATCCAGTCTCTGATCTTCTTAAAGTGATACCAAAAAAAAAAAAAAAAAAACCCAGAATTAGGGGCGCCTGGGTGGCTCAGTCGGTTGAGTGTCCAACTGTTGATCTCAGCTCAAGTCTTGATCT